TTTGCATGTGTACACACACAATGCGGCGCCGTGACACGCGGGGGGCGCAATATCATTTCTCTTCTGCGCGCGACCCCTCATCACACAAACTAATACGTAATGCATTCATGACCATTTGTTATTAGTTTTGCGACAAATTGAAATTTTTATCGTCCCGTGTTTCGTTTTGTTGTGACAAATTGATGGGCACTGGCTTCACCGGGCTTGACTAACGAGCCGTGAACATGCGATTGGATTTCAAAGTCGGACCGGAACTGATCAAATAAATGACGAATTTATTTTGTTCAATTAAAAGCCAAAATTATAAGCGGGGAAATCTAATTAACCAATTTGCCATGGAAAAAATAAATATACTGAATAAAGCTCTAATTAAAATTTCAATCGGAAAAATAAGATTTAATAATTTTATTATTGTTTTGAATAAAATATACTTTCATCGGATTGGATTACAATTTAATAATTTACAGAGTATCATTGATTTCATTTGCCATAAAATTTCCATACACAGAATTTTTAAAATAAATGGAGGCTTTTCTACACATTTTTTTTATCTCCTCTTCAATGCCAATATCTCTTAACAATTTTCTTTTCATTTAAATTTACATTCAAAATTCAATCAACAAAAAAAAAAAAAAAAAAATCACCAAACTATGCGCATATTTGTTGACAAATCTCAAATTTTCAAAAACTGTTTAAATAGTAAACTGGTTTTGATCGAGATGAAAGTTAATAATTCACCTGTGAATTCAATTGTTCAATTAAAATTACTTTGACTATTGTAGCGAATTTGAGTTTTAATCAACAACCGGCGCATTATTTAGATTATTTAGACTCTCAGGGCGACGAAACGTTGGACAGGACAGAGTTAATTCCATTAAAGTTTACGCCGCGGGGCGGGCACATTAAAATAATGACGATAATCGCGAGTGCGATGTTGAAATTATGATTACAATAGTAGTGCGCCGCCGGTTTTAAGCCAGGCCTGCCGTTTTGTGCGTTTGTTCTCGCATTACCATGTAAAGTGAGCATGTCAATTAATGATCGTGTTGTGCAAATGTAAAGAGAGAGCGAGCGAGCGCAAATATCCCTTATGCCACAACAATAAAGTATTATTGACACCTTGTAATCTCGTCAGAAGGGATTACATTAACTGTTTGCGCACACAGAACCAACGAACGCGCGAGAAATGGCACAAAACGCGCCCTCTGAGCCTCAAGCCGACCATAGAAACCGACGGGGCTTTTACGCACGCTTGATCAAACGAAACATGCACGCCGCATTATTTTGCTTTCGGAATAAATGTCAGGGATCAAAACTTTAAAGGTTGCTCAATTCATAAAACCGAAATTTTGCCTATTTGTTTCAAGATACATCATAAAATATTTTAATGAGATGAGAGATTTGCTAGTTTAAAAAAAGGAAAAAAAAAGAAGTTATTTTGGACCAAAATTTAATTATTTTCTCAATTGGAAGCCATTTTAATAGTTAATAAATAATATAATTTTTTACTTTTTATTCAAGAAATAAATTAAAAACAATTTGTATTAAAAATTTTACCATCCACCAAATTTTGAAAATTTTGTTTAAAAAATCACTCCGCGACCTTTGAATACTTATGACATTCAATTTTAAATTTCTTCCTCATTTTATCACGTTGTGCAACACGTATAAAAGCAATCAGAAAAGCACTGAAATTTTGATAAATAATTAATGCTCCTCGTTTTTATGGGACGAGTTTCCAAGTAGGGCGAGTGACTGCGAGTTTGTAGTAATGTGTGTTTTGTCCAGTTGATGGAATTGTAGTATAATCTGAATGTCCTGTGCACAGCCTGATGGCTTTGCGTGCTTCAACTATTATCACGCGACCGAAGAGACGCTCTTTAAATATTGATGCGACGCCTTGTCATCATCCAAATAATACTGCGACCACACACGGGACGGAAGTGATATTGTTCCACGAAAAATCAGCCAAATATTCACGTCAAAAAAAATAATAATAATAAGAATACGTTATTTGGCGTCAATTGGGTTTTTGTTTTTGTTTTTTTTTTTTTTTTTTTGTAGAAAAAAGACTTTTATAATGATTTTTTTGATACATATCTGATAATATAAAAAAAATTAATTTGGACAGTATCACAAGACACTGATATTATATTTTGAAATTTTGACATTTTTTAATGTACAATAATTTATAATTTAAATATTGTAAAGCTTCAGAATTTTTAATTAAAATTTATTTTTAGGCTTATAATATTTTATATAAAATATATTATTCACAAGTGTTAAAATATATGATTAAAATTATATAATTATATATTCACGTAAAATTTGATTTGTTAAAAAGATGAAAATATTTGCTTTTAAAATTTTTTTGAAACAATTTAAAGTTTGCATACAGGAAGAAATTATGTGTATTTAACTTTATAAAATGGATTCACGGCGTGTGCTTTTTTTGCCTCTTCATAATAATGAACATTGAGATTTCTATAATAATCATGCATATTAACAAAAATATTGACCAAATTCTCAATTGCCTTGCAGACTGAAGCAAAAATCTAAATTTCCCAAGAAAAATCTCTCCAGGTGTGAGATCGCACCTCTCCGACTCAGAACTCGGCTGGTTGTTGCACACCTCGGATTCCTATGCAGCACGCAGCACTCGCGAGCAAATCCATTTTGGATCGCAAGCCGGATCGGAACAATGAGATTATGCATGCAGAAACGCCGGAGTGAGCGAAAGACGCGCGCGCGACCCGCTTAACATTCACCCCGTGTGCGGTGCAAACTTTTGATTGATTTACACTTTACACAGAAGATCCGGCAAAAGGCCTCGCAACGCCGCGAATTTGAATATAATTTCATCGCACGCAATTTAGCATACACGCGAGTCTCGCACTTCAAGTGAGATTCTAGCCGAGAAAATTTCCGCATGCAAATTGATTGAAACGTTTCTCGACAATCAGCTAAATAAATGCAAATGCGTGGCGGGCGGAAATAATTGTCTTTCGATTAATATGATAATTCGCGTTCTCTCTGATGTCAACCCTTGTAGTGCATGAAAAAGTGATTTTTCCGCTGCTCTTTTTGTCGCCCTTTCCACCCCCCTGCTCCTCTCGTTTTGTCTTCTTATTTACAATCTGCCCCCGGGGGTAAACTGGGCCTCAAATTATTTCAAATTGCTGCGGGGCTTTGAAACGCAGCAAGTGCAACTCCTGAGGGGACGGACCGGCGATGATTCGAATTTGCTCAATATGCTAAACACATCCAGAATGCATGGAGCGAGAGCAAGCGAGGGCGACAGCAGCAAATACACACAAATTCAACTTGCACCGGAGACCTTCAATTCGATTTCCTTCTTTTTCTAAACGTTTACCTCCACTATTTTTTATTTCGATTTGTATTTCGTTTGAAGTAACAAAAAGTCAACAATGAGAGCATATTTTTAATTATTCACGCTTTTAAATTTGAGCTGCAAATTTTATTGGAAAATATAATTAATGCTCTGACAACAAATAAAAAAATTGTTGATTTGAAAGCTTGAAGATTTTTATGTCAACACTTAAGCTTCAGTTACAATTCAATGTCTATTTTAAATCAAATTACAACAATATTTTGATATTTTACCTCATTTTTAGTAAAAAACTTATTTTGATTTTAATGACACTTATCACAGATTGCATAAAAAATTACATATTGCCACTTGTTTGGTATTTTATGTTGGGTATTTTCATAAATAATAATAATAATAAACACACAATGCATATATATTTAGTTTATATTGATAATGTAGAAAAGGCAATTTGGCTTATTTTATGTTCTCAAAAAATTGTGAACCCTCTTTTTTATCTTTTTCACCAAATACAAAGTGAGGAGTATCAAAATGACACTAATGATTATTTTTATGGGACGCTTCAAGGCAAATAATTAGAATTGCAGTGCATGTTCTTCTCTCTTAATCAAATCTTATCCATTATGCTGTCGGAAAAATTTTTATTTTTAATAAAGAAATAGTTCTATATGATTTTCCTAAAATTCTCTATTAAATTAATAAAAAACATAATGCGTGATTAATTTCAGCAATTACTTTCAGCATTAAGGGAAGGAAGACGAATAAAGAAAATAAATATTCATGCACCAATGTACAGGATCTTTTATAGTTAATAGAAAGAAAAAATTCGATTTAAATAAAAGTTTTAAAATTTTAATAAACTTAATTTTTTGAGCCACGGAGGATAATTTGATCAACACAAGCACACATCATGGTGACTTAATAAGGGAAAATTTAATCATGAACATTTAATTAAAAAATTGTTTTGACGAAGAAAAATAAGTTTTGTGAAACTGTTTTCCGGAAAAAGCGATTTTTTTATTTTAAATTGGAGATATTGTCATATCATATTGATCCAATTGATACATTTATGATCTTTTTTTTCTGAATTAGCCCTGTGTCATTGCAAGTCATAGTTCGCATTTCAAACAGCAGACAAATGTTTTGGGGGAGAGCGAGAAGGGCTGAAAGTGGAGCAACAAAAGACGGCGCAGTGCTAATTGCCCGAGTGTGATCCTATTTAGCGACTTTGGCTGCTGGCGTGCAGCCACCCCACGCCGCTGGATCCCAGGAGATGATGATAATAATCAGTGGGCCCCTATTCGCCTCATCGACACCTTCTGTGGATATGCATTTAGCGTATAATAAATAATTGAATCTGCCTCCTCGCTGCTGCCTGGCTAATTCGCAGCGGCATAACTCACTCCCGTCTCTTTTGTGCAGTCTCTGGTCCCGCGGGAGTGCTGTGCGATAATGTTCTTAATAATCACAGTGCATGCAAGCCTCAATCAAGCAAATGAACGAAACCTGATATTTATGCTGTGTGACGCCGGAATCGTGCTCCACCAAATCCAATTTGAGTCAATCCTCTCTCCGGCGTGTCTGGCTTGATTTCAAAATCGAAAAAAAAAATGAATGACAGGATTGGAAATGAGTGACTGTTTGATTGTAGAATAATTTATTCTTTTGATCGTATATTTTGTAACAATGAACTTTGTCAAAAAGTGCCTTTTGGTTTTTACAAAATACACTGCAATGAACCTTTAAAAACGGCCAACAAAACACCCATAATAATTATGATAATTACAATAATAATAATAGGTAATGACAATGAAACAAATTCAAATAGGCATCATTATGACAGTATAGCCTGTATCCACAAGTACATCCAAGTGCTACAAACAGGAATATAATTATTGTGAATGAGCATAAAAGCATTATGGTCCAATTAAAGATTCAAAGTTCTTGCATATTAATTTTTTTAAATTCAAATCAAAAGCTTCAATTTGTTTTGCGTGCACCAAAATCGCGTGCTCGTCAAAAGTGAAAATCATATCATTACCGCGTTTGTCGATCAAATTACATCCACATCAATCCCGATTGCGTTTAATTATTACTGATGTTATTACCACCCTTCCCGATGCACCACTATAGAGCAAATAGTTTAGGAGTATTAATTTCAACACAACATGTCTGACGCACATTGAACATCGATATGAGAGATAGAGAGAGTTAATCAAAAATGACTATTTGACGCTCCATTCATATTTACACACTAGACTGAGGAGACGATTCGAATTTTATGAGAATTCCAAAATTAAAACATTTTATTTTGAACAGATGAGATGCGAATTATCTCCTCTGTTACGCTATTTCATAGCAATTTTAAATTTAGTTTTTATCATTAATACATACATTTGTAGGTAAATTTATACAATTCATAATAATAATAATAATAATAATATTAATAACTCTTTGGTTTGCGTTGCACACGTGCAGTCCCAAGGGGCCCGAAGTCAGGTCCACGTCAGTTTATCACTTATGCAGAGGACCAAGGGTCTCTCTGGGGGCCGCCGGGTCGACCGCCCTCGGCCTGAAAGGCGGCCCCGGGGGCGGCCAAGGGAGACGGCCACGGCATGCGGTTCGGGATGGGCCCCCAGGCGGACAGGGCCCTCGGCGCCGGCCACTGCGGCCCGGCCGAGGACCACGTCTGCGGGGGCGGCGGTTGGGTGGCGGCCCTGGCAGGCGCGGGGGCGGCGGCCGCCCCCGCAGCGCTCTGCTATGGGCGCAGCTCGGTGTGCTGCGTCTCCTTGTGGCGGCGAAGGTCCACCTTGCGTTGGAAGGCGCGGCCGCACAGGTCGCACGCGAACGGCTTGAATCCGGTGTGCTTCCGGCTGTGGGTGATCAGGTTTGATGATTGGCTGAACGCTTTTCCACACACGGAGCACTTGTGGGGCTTTTCACCTGCAATCAGTCAAGTTGATGATTTATTAAAAATTACTTCCAATTCTTTTGTATTTAATTTGAATAATATCAAAAGTGCTCAATCGATTTATGATTTTGTTTTGATTATTTTACTTTTAAAAATTCTAATTTATATTTTATTAATATAGTTCACAATCCTCTTAGAAATTTCTCTGTAAAGATCTGATGATGAAACTATTGATTGAGAAATTCTCAAGTAAATATATATTCAATTTCTAATAAATTATTCAAAACAAACTAATAAAAAGTCTGTTTTTCATGAATATATCTGGTTTAAGTATTAAATTTAATAATAATAGAATGCAAAATAAAAATTGATAAAAATAAAAAAAAACATATAAAATTTTAGTAAATAACTTTTATAAAATTGCTAAATTATTTGTTATAATATTTAAATTTTGTCCGTTAAATTTTCCAATTCCAACATGTTTTGACTATTAAATAATGAATATGATTCATTAATAAACATCGTTAAGAAAAAACAAAGACACCCGCAGACACCCGTATTTTGCGGTTAGGCAACTCGCTGCTCTACAAAGTCGCGCGTGTTGCATACCCACGATACCATTTAATGGACAAAAAACTTTACTGCTCTTTTTTTTACTTTTACAGACCATTATTTTACTTCCTTGTGTATTTTTTCGTTTCCAAATTAGGATATAATCGCAACAAGGTTTAATTCTGATTAAAATAACACAGGGGCGGCTGTTATTGAGACAAAAAACATCTCCGTCTCTGCGTTGTGTCTCGCAAACTGCCTCGCTGGGTGGAAACTTCGCAACCCTCACTACTTTGCTCCCTTGTCGCGCGTCTATATACTTTTTTCCATCGCACGTGGGTGTAATGAGAGCATTCCTGCATAATGCACATTACTGGAGAGGGGGCACCTTTGCATCTGGCGCTCGGCGAGTGCATTCCCGTAGCGAACGCGCCCTCCCCGTATCTGTGCACAGAGCGAGCGAGCGCGAGAGAGCATTAGCCGCGTTTCCATGGTTACAACCTCAGCACTTGCAGTGCAGGGCACGGAAAAATCTTTTACTGGGATTGATTGGCGCCATTGCCTGGCCGCAAGCCGCATTTTGAAGGGGAGGAGTCAGCCGGCGTCTACCAATCCAGCCCGGCAGTGGCGCTCGAACAAAGCGAGAAACGGCGGCGCCGCCGTCTTACGTGCTCATCTGCATGCACTGATTTGTTGGTCCGCAAAAGATAATTACACACCGGCCCGGAGACATGGTCGAGGGCAACGAACCGCCGGCGCAAGTGAAGTAGAAAAAGAGAGAAAAAAAAAGAAAGACGGACCCGGGATTGGGTGCTGAGTGGATATTGATCGGGAATCGGCGTGCTTAAAGCGGTGCGAGCAAATCGTAAAAATCGGAGCCGCTTCTCTTTTACAGCAATAAATGCCACGGTGAAATGAGACTGAAGAGAAAATCGTGCGCACCCCGTTTGGATGTATATATATATGTGTACGTTGTGCGTGGAACGGAAAAAGAGAAGCGAGCAGACAAAGCTTCGGGCTTACCGAGCGAAATCTTCGTGTGAGAGCGTCGACATGTGTGACAGTCGTAAACTCGCACCATTTCCTTTCTTTATTCCGTAACTCGCTGGGCGTTTTGCACACCGAGATTCGTTGCCACTTTTAGTGTGTCTGAAATTTATTTGCCCTCTGCCTCCCGGCGGCCGATATAATCACGATTCCGGCGGCAGGTCTCGGCGGGCAGCTGCTCCAGATTTTGACAAAATTGAGAGCAATATTTCCGATGCGGCGGCCTCCAGAGACAGCTTCTTCTTCTCCTCCGTCGGCCCGCTCCGAATCTCAGGTTTTATAAGTGACCAGTAATATCGCGCGAGATTTGCCGCTGACCGGAATACTAATGCCGCGGCGATAAAGGCGCTCGATTTTTATTATTAATAACGCGCGCGCGCCCGGCGAGAGGCGTTCGCCCTCTTGAGTGCATTTTTTATGCCCACATAAATACTTATTATCCAATCGATATTTCCCAATCTCGCACTTTCATTACCGCTGCTTCTACACTATACAATATTGCACTGCCGGCACTGAAAGCTCAACACACCACACGTTAACTTTCTTTTTTAAACGCAGCAAGTGCAGAGCGTTTTAATTTGCACAGAAATACTAATGATTTCTTTTAATTTATTATTTTTCACTTGATTATTTTTTTTATTTTTATACATAACCAAATTAATTAAAAATAATCATTCCTATTCAAATCCAGACCGCATAGATATATGATAACTGAAGATGTTGACGAACTTGGCGAGAGGACCAATATTTCTGTTTGAAAGATATGTACATATTCATGATGCTAAAACTTTAAATTTGTTTGTATTTATTAAAATTTACTAAAAAATATATACAGCATATATGACACTTTTAAATTATTTCATAAATTAGGTTAAAATAAAAGCTTTAAAAAAAAAATAATAAAAAAATGTAAATATTTATTGGTATTATTATATTACGAAATTAAATAAACATGTTAAATTAAATCATAGATTTAAAAGTTTATTGTAAAAACTAAATTTTAAATCTATAAAGTAATATCAATGTTTCAAATTAAACTTGCAAATCTGATCAAATTAACATCATTTTTATTAATTCATTCGATTTCTGATTGTCAGGCGAAATTTAAAGTTCAGCATGTGCCAATTTTAGAAATGTACATCCAATGCTTTAAACAATTTAGAGGCAATTTCCACATTCTCTGTCAAAAATCATTTTAATAAATAATAATAAAAAAAAAAAGTTTCTTTTTTATTTTAAATGATTGCAGTTTTCTTTGGCGACTTTAAGAGACGAAAAACTATTGAGCTGTGTCTTTTTCCACATTTCTTTTACGGAGGTTCATGGCTGCTGGTTTGTTCTTTGCCTCTTTCTTTTTAATTTGCGAAATCGAACCAAAGCCACTCATCTGGTCCGGCAGAGAGCTGCTGGCAGAGCGCGTCGGCAAACGGCCGCTCCGAGAGAGCGAGCGAGCAAGAGGGATGCTCTCGCTTTATAACTACACCAGAGAGTTTTTATGATCATGTGCTTCGAATTCTTAACAACGACACCAGTATACGGCTGGAAAGTGTGGAGCTATGCACTGGCAGCTAGAGAGAGAGAGAGAGAGAAAGAGCGGCGGCCGGGAAAGCTCGAGTGCGCGCTCTAAAAAGGAAAAGAGTATAAAAATCTCTACGGAATCTGGGTTCTATGTTTAAAGCTCTGAGGACTATATATATATGATTCCACTCTGCCACTGCTCGCTCCACTATATTTATACACTCTCTCGCTGCTGATATACCCGGCACTTATCTCTTTACGAGTTTCTGAAAATCTCCTGCCCAGGCAGCTCCCTCATCTCAATCACCTTCTGTCATATAACGACCAGGGGCTGCGTTCGTTCGCCCACCCAGCAACTACATTACGCCGCGCCGCTTTTTCCCTGATGAGTTTTCTAAAGATTTCTTCCTCTACTTCTTCGCACCGTGAGAGAGATTTTAGCTTGGGCATCTGGAGCCAGCGGCTGACGCACGCGGCCGGCCCCGAGCTGGATTTTTGCACCAGCGCCGCTGACCACCCCCGTTCCGCCCAGAGATATAATAATCTTTATGCCAACTTGACACCGCACATTTATCATTTCCTCACTCTCGCCCTCTCGCTACATCATGTGTGGGTGGCTATGGGATTTTCGCAAAAGTGTGCTGCAAGATTTTCGCTGCTGAGCGCTGAGCCAAATTTATGAAGCGAAGGTGCCTGCCCGAAATTTATGAACACTAAAGCTCTCCGGCACATGCCTGCTTGCACGGGGTTTTTTGCTCCGGAACGTTTTTGCGCCATCAAAGCCTTTGGAAATCACTGGCTGCTATGCAAAGTTCTGTCTCCATATAAATACAAAAACGAGATAAGAAAAATTAAAAAATAAAAATTTAATACTTATAAAAAAATCATTTCATATTAATAAAAATGACACATTTTAATCATTATGTAGGAAAATTTTATTTTATATAAAATGTTATTTATGTTAAATAAAGTAATTTTAGTGGTTTACAATCCCTACTAATGTTTCAATAAATTTTATATTTGTAATAAAACTGTTTAATTATACTGAAAGAGCTGCAGCACAAAACGCTTATTATATTATGTAATTTTAAAAGATATTTTATCATGCTTAGCCACTTCAAGCAGATTATGTTTTATAGAATGGAAATGTTGAGATATACAAATAAAAGGAAAATTGTAAAATTATAAATTGTTAAACATGAAAGGGTACAAAGAAGTACTGATGAAATCGTCAAATTCAAATATTATAATTATTATATTCACTTTTTGCGTTTTTCTTTCAATTCAGTATAATTATATAATATTACATGATTTTTATTGTCCTATAAAAAGTCTATATGTACTAATAAATTCTAAAATTATTCATTTTTCTTATAAATTCACAATTTCAAGTATATTCATTAAAAAGCAAAGAGTTGCATAATAAATTCGCGTTGCTTTACACTCAATTTCTAAAGAGAGGTGCAATGCAGCCAAGAGTCGATTAAAGCTGTTGGTTTGTGATTTGAAAAGGAGCTGGTTTGCGCAACACGCGAGAGTGTGGCGTCGTTTTCGCAGCACAGATACGCAATCTGCCATTAAAAGGCGGCTGGCTGGAGGAGAGCGCGGGGAATTCCTTTATGTTATTACAATAACCGCATCTGAGCTCAAAGATTTCCTATTATTGAATTACAGCGCAGCATGTGCGCGCGCCCCGCGATTATGTAAAGGCGCAGAGAAAATGCAAAAAGGGATTTTATTGCGAGAGCAAACCAGCCATCAGTTTTGATTAGCGTCAAATGTTTGCGGCCGATATTTGATTTGGATAATGTTTTATTGGCCGCGTCGCAGCCTCGATCCTAGCTTTTTTTCCCCGGATGCACATGTGCTCTCGTCGGCAACCAGATCTCGCTACTTTTGGTGATTGCAGCATGCC